AAATAATTTGTTTTCAATACATTGAATTGATTGATTTTGGTATTGCTATAATATGGCAACATTTTTGTTTGTCTTTCTTTAGAGTGCAAAAATGTCTTGATTCAACAAACTGGTCTAATGTTGAAATTTATGACAATGTAACTCTTAGAGTTATAGTAATCAGTGCTAGCCACTAATGCAATTAATATTTTCAAAAATTCTAGTGAACTACTGGTAGTTGATAAAAACTAATTAAAGGCTTGATAATAAGAAATAATTTTAAATCATATTGTACCTTGAAATCATAACACCATGTATGTATTTGCACAAACCCACATAAACACACATTTAGGGAAAGCTTAAATCATTATCATACCATTTCACAGAAGATGCTGTATTTAATTTTATAGAAAAATTAACCTGAAATTATCTTTTTTTTATCAAAATTACTTTAAAATGTATGTACCGGGGCTGGGAAGGTGGCTCAATGGTAGAGCGCTTGCTTTGCATGTATGAGGCCGTGGGTTCGATTCCTCAGCACCACATAAGCAAAAAGAAAAAAAGCCAAAAGTGGCACTGTGGCTCAATTGGTAGAGCACTAGCCTTGAGCTGAAGACCTGAGGGACAGCACCCAGACCCTGAGGACAGGCCCCATGACCTGACCCCCCCCCCAAAAAAAGCATGTACCTATGTAAATATCATATAACAAATTTTATTCTATACAAAATAACAAAATAAAAATAAGAAATATGCCAAAACATTGTTTATGTCTGGCCTGATTTTAAATACTTTATCTTCATTACTTTTGGCAGTTTTAGAAATTTTCTACAATGAATAACTTATGTTATTGGAAACATAAATAGAGTAGCAAAATGAAGAGTAAATCTGCTGCACGTGGAATCACAAAGGATTTAAATTCAATCGTGTCCTGGGCAACTAACAGTCAGTAAAGCCAAATCCCATTCTTCCATGGACAGTGTTTACTGCTGCTGGCAGCCTTCTGTCTGCAAAAGCCAGTTCTCAAGCATTAATAAGGGTATGGGATTTATCATCATGGCTTGCAATTGTCAGCAAAGCCATTATTTTTAAGAGACAATTTAAATGCATCAGCAGAAAGTGCTTTGCCTCCAATGTCTATGTTTAGTAAAAATGATCAAGTTTATTCAAAACTGCACAGATTCAGATCTTAAGATGATATTTATTTGCAATAGAATTGTCCACCCCTCATTTCAGCAAATATTTGTTGCTTTATTTGGAAAAGTACATGGGTCAATTCCAATAGCACATTCTCTTCACTGTAATCTAGAATTTCTACAATTTGATTCCGTGATTTACTTACTTATCGTCTTTTTTTTTTCTTTTTGTGTCCTGGGGCTTGAACTCAGGGTCTACCCCTGAGCTTCCTTTGATAACAGCTACCACTCTCCCATTTGAGTCACAGAAACACTGCCAGCTTTTCCTGTTATATGCTACTGAAGAATTGAACCCAGGACTTCATGATGCTAGGCCATCCTACCACTAAGCTACATTCCCAGCCCACATTCATTTACTTTTAATACACATTTTCCAAAACAAAAGAAACTAATAACTGAATACAGAATGGCTATTAACAAAGTGGCTATTTTTTGCCATTAAGGTTGAATAACATTATAACATAAGCTATTATCAGGCTTTAATTCAACTCCTTCCTTTTACTTTACCTATGACAGAAACCACCTTTCCAAGTTGGACTAGAAGATGTGGAATGTGTATTTTTGCAGTGATGCACAAGCTCACAAGAGAAGATCTCTTATAAACATTCTTCCCATTTTGACCATAATGACCTTGTAGGAGAAGCCTGTTGTTTTCTTCTTTGATTTAAACACAGTTGGTGGTAGATAGCACATGTACATCATTAGCAATTATCATGGAACAAGAAAGAAATAAACTACCCATCAACAAGATGGGGATTGTGAGATATAATAATTAACATGATTAAGTGAGAGAAGACTAAAAATCAAATCTGAAGCCTGTCATTCTAGTAGTAGTGAATAATTGATAAAATTGTCATGGCTGTAGCATGACAAGATTCTTTAGTTAATAAAATTTACTATTGTACAGGAGGATTAGGAGGATTAAATATAAAGTGTATGTTAGCACCCAACACACAACTTCATGTCCCACTCATACACATACTTCCTAACTTTGTATGTGTGTGCTCTTCTGCAGCACATTTTTAAAAGTTCTAACAATTTTAAACAATTTTAATTCAAAAAACTTTAACTGCTTTAAAACACCCCTAACCTTATTAAAATAAAAGACTTCACTGAGAGCTAAGGATTTGAGCACAAACCATGTGTGCGCGCACATACACGCACACACACATACACACATACATTTTATTTCTGTCAGTAAGTTCAAGTCTACTTGACTCAAAGAACTTAGGACAAACCAAATTAATGGAAATGATGTCTATACTCTCAATGTGAAAGGTTTAAGATAGCCAAAGACTTGGGTTTCATTCTCTGATTCTGTTTGTCACATAAAATGAGTAGGTATGCTGGGAGATGACAGTTGGCAGGGAGGATTATGGTTCACCTGGTAAATAAAGTCAATGGAAAGGCAGGAAGTATATTTATGGACAAGCAAATGGCAAAATATGCCTGCATATACTGATTACATAGAGTCAGTGAGTAGTAAATATTGGCAACTCTAAAGCCAAATGTTAAGGTACTGTGGAGTTGAAATATTTCTTATTGTTCTGATAAGAGAAGTTGCCATACTACTCCACATTGAGTAAGGCAGAGTTATGCCCCTTCAATTAAAATCTCATTTCTCTAATTTGAGATGATACTTGTAATGAAGATGCTAGAAATTAAGTAGAACATATAAAGTAATTTACATCTATGTTAATAAAAAGTATTATTCCTGTTTGTTAAAATGACAGTGCTCATTGTACACATTTCACAAGCAAATTATATAACAAAAAAGTCTAAAAACTTGGTTAATATCTGGCCTGGGCAAGAAAGGGAAAAACTTATCTGTATTTGTTTCTTTTGATGAGGTAAATAAGTACAGTTTTCAAAATGAGAATTCTTTACATTTTCTTTTAATAATTTGCTACATATGTGTTCATTATGTAGCCTTTTTGCTTAATTTTATTTAAAAATGTAATTATGGCTTTTTAATGCCTCTAATATTCTGTCTTCATACATGTATACAATGTTCTTTGAGCTCATTCAATGCCTAAATTTATTTACAATTCCATTTTGAAAGGGATTGTAGATAAATTAGTGATGACTGCGATGATAAATTTACTTTTACAATCTCAAGTTCTTGAATGGACTTATCCCTGCATAATCTTATGATTGATAAATTCTAGAAATTAAGAATTGAGTATCTTTGGAAGACCATAATTCAGTTCACTATATTCAGATGTTATCTCATCTTTCTATTTATTTATAGGCTTTAACCACACAGGCTTAAAACAGCATAAATAGCCCAAAGCAATCAGTTAGTATTAAATACAGTGACTCTTAAAGAGAAGTCTTTCAGAAAACTCTTGACTATAGTTCACTAGTAAACAGTACGTCTGGAATATTCCTAAAAACATGTTCTACTTTATGCAATCTTTAAGGGAGGCAGGCGCCAGTGGTTCACACCTGTAATCCTAGCTACTCAAGAGGCTGAGATCTGAGGATCATGTTTCAAAGCCAGCCTGGGCAGGAAAGTCCGGGAGACTCTTATCTCCAATTAATCACCAGAAAGCTGGAAGTGGTGCTATGGCTCAAGTGGTAGAGGGCTTGCATTGAGCTGAAGAGTGCAGGTATAGCACCATCGAGGGCCAGAGTACACACACTGCCTCCATCAGGAAGAATGACATTGCCCCATTTGTTAGGAAATGGAAAGACATGGAAACAATTATATTAAGTGAAGTAAGCCAGGCCCAAAGAAACATAGGAAACATAGGTCCCATGTTTTCTCTTATTTTCAATATCTAGTACATGTGTAGGACAAGTAGAAAAGGTAAAAAACTATGTACATATGACCATATAAGATGATGTTATCACAATGAAACCCCAGATAGGGACACATTTTTTTTTTCTTGCTTGCTATTGTTTCTAACATATTTATAATGTCTCAGATGATTTTTTTGTTTCTTTGTATATTCCTTTCCCCCACCATATAACCCCTGTTTTCACTGTATTTGATGTCTGTGCCCTGCATCTTGTATATACACTTCTCTAGCTTAGAGAAGGGAAGGGAAAAAACAAAATGCCTAAATAAGGATACAAGTTGACCCATTGTAACAATGAGATGTACAAGACACTATGTTGAAAATGAACTTTACAACTTTGTTCGCTAAGGAGGTGGTGTTAGTTGTGGAGGTGGGAGGGAAGGGATGATAGGGGAAAAACAGAGGTGGCAACAATGCTCAATAAAAAATGTACTCATTACCTTGCTCCTGTCACTGTACAGTATTTTTACAATAAAAACATACCAAAATCTTTGAGAGACATTGTTCTTCAATTTCAAGTTAAAGCAATTAGCGTTGCATAACTACTTTAAATACTTAGAAGAATATTTATCTTTTGGAAGTAGTATATCAATGTAGTCATAATTATATTCACTTTCATTAGCTGGGCCAGAAACCAGAAGTATCTTCAGTTAAGATAAAGTTCTTAATTATTGTGGCTCATGCCTGTAATCCTAGCTACTCAGGAGGCTGAGATCTGAGGATCATGGTTGGAATTTAGCCCTGGTAGAAAAGTCTGTGCTACTCTTATCTCCAATAAACTACTCCGTAAAAGCAGGAAGTGGGTCTGTGGCTCAAGTGGTAGTGCACAAGCTTTGAGCATAAAGAGGTTTAGGTATAGCACTCATCAGTTCAATACCACACACTGGCAAAAAATCCCCAGGACTGGCAAAAAATGTTCCTAATTATTATCAAGAGTCTCAGAATTGATGTTAAGCTAAAATTGTTTATTCTTGTTTAAATATTATGCTAGAAATTTGGAAATGAAAGAGACAAAGATGCTCACCTTAAATAACAGGTCTTTCTTCCCATACCGAAGTTCCTTCAGCTGAGCTTGAATTTTTTTTGACTATAAAAACAGAGACAGGGATTAGTCTTCAAACTACTTTAAATTTTTACAATCTTGAATATTAAAATTTATTACTTTTCTGTTCAGAATTCTTTTCAGTGAAACAAAATATAATCTTACAATTTTGAAAATAAAACAGAAAATTTTAAGCTCTCTTCAGGTATCAGAGTTCTATGTCCAAGCAGATTGAGAAAAGTAATTAACGCCTATTCAATAACTTGTATCTTTATAAAGGTATTATTTCAAGTGATTGGTTAATTATTCTTCCTCTATTCTATACCCAAACACATAAAGTATCTGTCATTTTGGCATGCCCAATATTCTACCTTTAGGACTAGGGTTCAATCTCTACCAATACACACACAAACTCACACAAATTTATATCATTGTGAAAATTATAAAAATATTAATTTCATGAAGAACAGGCAATCATTACAGAATATTTTCATCTAGGCTAGTCAGTTCCATTTAAAAGAGTATCTTTAAATCCAAGATTATTCTATTCTACAATTTTGTAGAATAGAAAAATTTGCATTTAATGAAATAGTTTTGATGTTGGTCAATGTTTGTAATATTTACTCTGTTTTAAGATTCTAACATGAAAATTTAAACACAGTTTATTCATGCATAAATATTAAAGCTGAAGATTAGTAAACTGTCAAGATCCTTCTCTGTTCCTTAATCAGTAGAAAACATTTTTGCTTAGTTTTTGATGGTGATGATGAACCAAATAATTAAGTTTTCACCATAACATTTCAAAATTCTAAAGTAACAAAATAAGTGCCTCACAAACTATCCAGAATATTAAGCTCTAAATATACTTCATTGATAATTTAAGTAATTTATAATGTTGGACAAATGAAGGAATCATAATTAACTCATTATTTTTCAAATATTAAGTAAAGCCAATATTAAAAAACATAATTCATGAATAGGAATTAATGATAATATATTTTCCAAGGCATTGAGACACAGGAAAATATAAATCACCTTTAAATGACAACCTAAAACATAATTGTAGTCCCTACTTATTTCTCTCTCAACAGCTTCTTTCTCTTTCATGTACAGAAGTTTTGTGGGGACCCAAGCAATATACTAGCTATCCTAAAATACAGCTTCAACCTAGATATTTCTCATTCATAACCTCATTCCATTGACTATGCTCTTCAAAACCTTCACATATCGCATCTTCCCTCTGTCTATAAACAGGGTGTGGAGCTTTTTCTATCAAGAGAAAAGCAAGATGAGTTGAAATCCTAGACTGGACCATATCTACAAACCATGTATTGGCTTTCTACATATTGAAATTTTCTACTAATCTTGAATATAATACTATTGGAAAGACTTTATGGAAGGAATTATATTACATATTCTAAATGGATTGTAGTGTTTGTGATAATTTGTGTGTGTGTGTGTGTGTGTGTGTGTGTGTGTGCGAGTGTATATGTGTGTGCTACCTTTTGTGAGTCTTCTCTTATTTGGGCAGGTAGCATAACTTTTTCTACAAAAAGTTTTTTTTTGTGTGAAAGTACCATACAGAGGGTTTACAATTACATGGGCAAGATAATGAGTACATTTCTTATCAAGCATTGTAACCTCCTCCTTTGTTTTCCCTTACCATCCCATCCTTCTTCCCCCTTCTCCCCTTCTCCCTGGCCCCCAGCGCCAAAGTTGTCAAGTTCATTTTTTGACATAAGGTCTTGTACATGTCATTGTTGCAATGGGTCCACCTGTATCCCTATTTAAACAATTTGTTTTTTCCCTTCCCCTCCACAAATTATACCAACATCAAATATAGCGAGAGCAGGGGTTGTACTGTGGGGGAGGGACATACAAAGCAACAAAGAAATCATCTTATAAATATGTTAGAAACAATAGCAAGAAAGAAAAACAAATTGAGTCCTTATCTTGGGGTTCATTTTACCTAACATCAACTTGTCTGACTGTTTCTGCTTACCTCAGACATATACTAATTATTGCAAATAAGAGAAACCATGGGACCTATGTTCCTTTGGGCCTGGCTTTATTGCACTTAATATAATTTTTTCCAAGTCTGCCTTTCCTAAGACATGGGCAATGTCATTCTTTCTGATGGAGGCATAGAATTCCATTGTGTATATATACCACATTTTCTTGATCCATTCATCTACTGAGGGGCATCTGGGTGGGTTCCATAGCTTAGCTATGGTAAATGATGCTGCAATAAATATAGTCATATCTAAAATATATCTGGACCACAAAAAAATTAAATACCCTAACAACAAATCCTCAAAGAAACAACTGCCCAATAAACAAATGGACTAAAGACTTACACAAAAACTTCTCTGAAGAAGAAAGAAAGATGGCCAATAGACATGTGAAGAAATGCTCAAATGAAGAAATGCTCTCCAGCCATAAAAGAAATGTAAATCAAAACAACTTGAGATACCACCTCACCCTAGTTATAATGGCTATAATCAAAATCTTTAATAACAATAGATGCTGGAGGGGATGTAGCCAGAAGGGAACCCTACTGCATTGCTGGTGGGAATGTAAACTTGTTCAAATACTTTGGAAAATATTATGGAGGTTCCTCAAAAGACTCCACATAGAGCTCCCCTATGACCCAGCCATCCCACTTTTGGGCATGTACCCAAATGATCTCAACTAAGACCATACTAAAAAAAGTTTTTAACTTCTCAAAAAAATTGATTAGGCATGTGATTATTTCAGATACATATGGTGCATTGGGTCTGGAGATAGATGAGCCTATTTCCTAGTTTGAATTTGAAAGATTAATGTTTTTTCTCTTCCAGACAATGTTCTCTTTCTCTCCTGAAAAAGGATGGTAACAACTAAGACATGTACTTAGGGGGAAATGATAGGTGTGGATCCACATTTAGAAGATAATAGAAAAAGAAACATAGGTCTCATGGTTTCCCTTATTTGAAATGACTAGTATATGTCTGAGAAAAGCAGAAAAGGTCAGATAAGTTGATGTTAGGAAAAATGAATCCCAAGATAAGGACTCAAGTGTTTTTTTCTTTCTTGCTATTGTTTCTAACATATAAGGCGATTTTTTTGTTGCTTTGTATGTTCCTCTCCCACAGTATAACCCCTGTTTTTACTCTATTTAATGTTGGCATAAGTTGGGGAGGGGAAGGGAAACAAACAATTGTGTAAATAGGGATACAGGTGGACCCACCGCAACAACGAAATGTCGAAACCGAACTTTACAACTTTGGCACAGGGCGGGGAATGTAGTTGTGGAGATGGGAGGGCAGGGATGGTAAGGAAAAAACAAAGGAGGAGGCAACAATGCTTGATAAGAAATGTAATCATTACCTTGCCCATGTAATTGTAACCCCTCTGTACGGTATTTTCACAATAAAAAACTTATTAATGAAAAAAAAGAAGACAATAGAGTTGTTTAGACATCTCTGTACTTCACTCCTAGACAACTATAAAGTGGGGGTAAACTTTTAATATTATTTATCCACTGCTCTCATAAACAAACCTCCTGTCTTTCTGTTACCTTTGTAAACATTAGGTGTTCACCAGGGTAGTGAGGCACAGTTAGTCAAAGAAATAAGATGAGCCGAGCAGAAGCCGCCCCAAAATGACAGGCGAGGTCAGATGAATGAGGTAATATGATTCTACTCCTATCATCTTTTTAACACCTCTGAGACCCTTTCTATCATTCTATTATCTACTCCTATCATCTTTTTAACACCTCTGAGACCCTTTCTATCATTCTATTAGTTCTTAAAATCTCTACCTCTTTTATTAATTTGTGGTCCATTGCCACAAAAATCCTGAACAAGTCTGTACAAAAGTCAGACAAGACCTCATTAACATGTAACCAATTGTGACGTGAGCTGAGAACAGCCCAATAAACGTCCATCTTGCATAAAAATGGACCTTGTAAGGTTATCTCCTTCCTGACCACCCCTTTCTAGTCAAAGCCTTGTTTTCTTGGAAAAAGTCCATAACACTCATAGAATATAATATTTAACTTATCTAAACACTCATTGCTCTTGACTATTTGTTATCCAGCTATGCTCAGTTTTTTTTGAGTGTATTTTACCTGCTTCTCTACTTCAGCTTATCAGGTAAAAACGGATCCACTATAAATTCCTCTGTGTCTTCTATCCTGAATTCTTTCCTTAGTAAGACCAAGAACCCATGAATTCCTCCAGTCTGACTTGACAGTGATGACAGAATGAATAGATTTCCCAGCTTTCCCCCAATCTTTCACAGGACTTTAAAAAAAATTGTACTTCTAATCATTTGTGTGAGTTTCTTGGAATTCTCTGACAGCACACTGACACTCGTTCACTCTTATTACCTAATAAATAAATACTTATAACATTATCACTACTATTTCATTATTATCACTTAGAATTCCTTAATTGTATTTCAACATTTAACATAGCATTATGGACATATGCAGAGTTGTACAATCCAGGAGATTGATTATTGTAGTTAAATCTATATTAACAATAATAATAATTTTCTTTATGAAGAAACACTGAAATAGTTTTCCTATAAAACAAATAAATCCAACAGATATGTTTACTTGTGAAGAGGATGATCAATCTAGAAAAGTCACATTGAGTCATTCATCAATGGAAAAAAATTTACACATCACATAGGTAGAACACAAAGCAGAAAAATTTAATGGGCTTCCAGGTATTCGCCATTAAGGAAATCCTGATAAATATAGATATGATAGGAATGTGGAACATCATCTTATAAAATGAGTGCTTTATGAACTTTAAAACTTTTCTCTTTACTATACAATGTTAAAACATTCAAGAATATCCCAAAGTTTAAAATGATTTTATTGTCTTATTCAAAATTTTATATTTGTGCTCAGGAAAAAGGATGGTTACTTCGTATCTGGGTTCTAAACGATATTTGGAGCTGGGATCAGTGGCTAGCAACACAGGAGTCTGAAATCAGAAGGATCATGCTTTCAGGATAGCCTGGGTTAAAAGGTCATGAGACCATCTTCCATTGGAAAGGTTGGGCATGGTGGAATGTGCCTGTCAACCAAGCTATGGTGGGATGTGTGAACAAGAAAGATCAAGATCTAAGTTGATCTAAACTCAAAAGTAATTAGTCCCCAAAAGGCTGGAGGCATAGCTCTACAGAGTATCTCCAAGGCAAGCATAAATCCCAGAGGTCCTAGAGATCCCAGAGTTCAAACATCATTATGCATCAAAAGAGAGAGAACTACAGAGAGAAAATGATGAGAGTGTTGGAGGGAGGGAGCGAGGAAGGAAGGAAGGAAGGAAGGAAGGAAGGAAGGAAGGAAGGAAAAAAAACATTACCATGAGCACTATTTGTATTTGTTGAAGATTTAAAAAAAGAAAGAAAAGGTGAATTTTACTCACCTCTTCTGCATGAATTCCACACAGCTTACTTCCAGACAAGAGTTTGTTTTTCAAGCTTTTATTCTGAGGAAAGAAATACAGTTTTATGCTAAGAAGTGAGAAATTGTAATTTCTTTAAATAAATCAGCAACATTACTCTGTATTTGGTTCACAGACTAGACCTTCATGATACAAAGTCTAATGAATTCATTAAAAGCTGAGTTAACTCTGCAATGTAAATATGTTCCCTTTTTCCAACTAAAGTGTCCATGTATTAGAATTAGCATATTGATTTTAAAGATACATATTACTTAACCTTATATTTAACTTTTATTTATTATACTTATGTGCATGATTTTATAAAATAGTTCTGCAAATCAATAATGCAGGCTAGATTCTGATCAAACACCTCTAAACTACAGCATTTAGTCTGCTATTGTCTTTAGGTTGGGCATCTTCTAGTTCCTTATTTTTTAAAATTTCTACATATCATATAGAGACACAGTCACATTAAACATCTACATTCTTTTCGAGGACTAAATTTTTATTGTAGTATCTTATTATTTTTATTGGCTTGTATTCATTGTTTAAATGGTTTTGATAGTTCATACATATCAACTAGGTTGATCAAATGTACCTACTCTATTAAATTTTCTTCCACCTCCACTTTTTTAGGAGCTATTCCAGTGGCTTTCTTTTTTTTCTATTTTCATACATGTATCTAAAACACTTGGATCAACCTCTTCACCATCAAATTTTACCCTTGCCACTAATATTGGTTTCTGCATTCAAACAATCCTCATTGCACAATTTTGTTATTGTTTTCTAACAGTCTAAATTTCCTAGGTGATAGAAATTTTAAGTGTGTCTTTCTCGTCTGACTTGTTTCACTTAACAGAGTAATTTCTGACTCCTATTTTTTGTACATGATATATTTTCATTTTTCTTTTTATCCATATAGCCCTGTCTAGGGCATGTATACTAAATAATTTTTCCTCTTTGTTTTTCTTTTTATATTACTGGGGCTCCTTTGTTTTTCTTTTTATGTTGCTAGAGGTACCTTTTTTCTACCAGATAATGTCTTGTGCATTTAGATCATTTTGATTTTAGGCATTGAACCTCCAAACTACTTGGATTACACATGCATCATCATTTCTATATTCATTTGATATAACATCTCACCACTATTCCTGGGGTGGTTTTCTAACCACTAACTTCCCATTTCTGACTCCTAAACATATTAAAAAATCTGATAATCTTGCTTACATTTTTAAAACATTTAATTTTTTTGTCCTCTTCGGTCTCCTTCAACTCAGGTTCCCATTTGCTGTGTTGGTTGAAAAGCCTCCTTTTCAGACTTCAGAGATGTCATTTATAATTCAACTTACATAAAACATTCTTTATAGAGTCAACTTCCTAAAATATGTCTAGAATTATAACATTACTGCAGATCTCTCACAGGATATTTTAAACTATTACTTGCTATTGAAAAGACAGAGAGAAAAAAGTATGCATACACTGGAGAATGTTTTTGTGTATAAGTAGGAAATTGGATGAAAAAAACGAACATGTAGTGTTTTTCAAATATTCATTTTATTAAAACAGATTTACAAGCTAGTGGCTCATATCTATAATCCTACCTAGCCAGGAGGCTGAAATCTGAGGATCAAGGTTTGAAGCAAGTCTGGGCAGAAAAGAATTTTTGTTTTTGGTCGGCCAAAGGGCTTGAACTCTGGGCCTGGGAGCTGTCCCTCAGCTCTTCAGCTCAAGCCAAGCGCTTTATCATTTGAGACATAGTGCCACTTCTGGCTATTTCTATTTATGTGGTGCTGAGGAATACAACTCAGGGCCTCATGCATGCGAGGCAAGCACTCTACCATTGAGTCACCTTCCCAGCCATGTATGTGAGATTTTTATCTCCAATTAACCACAAGAAAACTAAAAGTGGAACTGTGGCTCAAAGTGGTAGAGCCCTAAAAATCAGGAATAGACCCATTTTTTTACCAAAAAAAAAATAAGAAGAAGGAAAGCTCAAGAACAGTTCCCCAGGCCCTGAGTTCAAGATCCACAACCTAAACAAAACAAAACAAAAAAGCAGACTATAATATACTATTTACATTTAATTTAATAGTATAAATTTTAAATGTGTGTATTTTAATTTAAAAGGCAAGATGAGCAGTTAAACTAATGTATGCTTATCTGATATAACTATGTATTATGTTCCCAAAGAATGTATGCTATTATACTTAAAGAATTACCATTTTAGTTTAGTTTTACAACTATTATTATTATTTATATGAAAAACATGTCAATATGCAACACATTTTAATAAATGATGGGTTATAGTGTGTGTGTGTGTGTGTGTGTGAGAGAGAGAGAGAGAGAGAGAGAGAGAGTACATTCCATTCCCCTCAGAATTGTCAAGTATTGAATTTCAAGAGTTTTATTTTGACTTCATTGTTGCTTGAAATCAATTGTTTTCTTCATCTACATGGAAAGAATGACTTTCCAACTGATATAGATTTTTACTTTCAATGCCAGACATACTCTTCAACTTATAGCTGTTTTCTAGGAATATGAAAAAATACAATTGTAAATTAATGAATGTAAATTAGTAAATTAGTGTAAAGTGGCAATAAAGATTTTACTATTGTTAAAGCTTAAGCTAACAACCCATTGTCACAGTGTAACACTTTTATTTTAGTTCTGCCTTTGATAATGACTGTACATTTTAAAATACATCCCTCTTTAAATATAATCATCCTATTATCTCAGTGTACATGATGTTCCTTGGGAAACCAGGAAGGAAATTATAGCAGTTCATGAAAAATTAGGTGATGCACATTTCTCTAATGACTTGGGACTTCTAAAAATGTTGGGTTTAGAAGGGTCTCTTTGTCTGGTGTTTGCAAAATACCATTTGGTGTCAAGGTACATTATGATATTTCATTTTTCTGCCTTGTTCTATATTTTGACATTTTTTTAGTCAGAGATTTTGATTCTTCTTTTCTTATATATAAAAGGTACCCTGGATGGAAAAATAGGACAAAATATGTATTCAGAATGTTAAGTGAGTAAATGAATTCAGAAACCCACACAAAAATGATGACCCCAATCTGACATTTTCTTTTTATATAAAAAACCCATATTACTTAGTCATCAAGATACAGATAGGAAATGAACTTGCAAATCAGACCTGATTCAATGTATTAGAATATGGAAGAATTATTAATGAGTTAATCTATAAACATTTTAGAGGATGGAAATGGTAATATAGTTAGATATGCCTATGTTTCCATGAAGAGTTTATTTTACTGAAAATGATCTTTTTTTAAATTGTAAAGATACTGTACCGAGGGGTGACAGTTACATGAGTAAGAAAATGAGTACATTTCCTATCCAGCACTGTTACCCCCTCCTTTGTTTTTCCCCTACTATCCCTTCCCCTCCCCAACTCCACCTTCCGCCCACCCCCGAAGTTGTCATTTTCAACATAGTGTTTTGTACATCTTACTGTTACAATGGGTCAACCTGTATCCTTGTTTCAGCATTTTATTATATCCTTTCCCCTCCCCAATTAGAAAAATGTATACACATATAAATGTAGGGCACCAGAATCAAACACAGTGACAACAGGGGTTATACCATAGGGGAAGAATACAAGGGAAACAATAAAAAATCACATAGTATGCTAAAAACAACAGCAGCAGCTGCAGCAACAACAACAACACACCTCTTGTAGCCCTATTTTGGAGTTCATTTCATTTAGCATCATCTTATATGGTTATATGTACATAGCTTTTGACCTTTTCTGCTTGTCTAGTAAGATTATCCTGGATGTATACTAGTTATTGCAAATAAGGGAAACTATGGGATCTTTATTTCCTTGGGTCTGGCTTACTTTACTTAATATAATTTTTTCCAAGTCTTTCAATGAAAGGAAATGCAATTAAAACAACATCGAGATTCCACCTTACCCCAGTTAGAATGGTTATAATCAAGAAATCTAATAACAACAGATACTGGAAGGAACCCTACTGCATTTTTGGTGAGAGTGTAAACTTGTTCAACTACTTTGGAAAGCAGTATGGAGGTTCCTCAGAAGACTACACATAGAACTTCTCTATAACCCAACAATCCCACTTTTGGACATTTACCCAAATGATCACAAACAAGGCCATACTAAAGCTACCAGCACAACTATGTTTATTGCAGCATTATTTACCATAGCTAAGATATGGAACCAACCCAGAGCCCCTCAGTAGATGAATGGATTGAGAAAATGTGGTATAGATAGATAGATAGATAGATAGATAATTACACACATACACAATGGAATTCTATACCTCCATCAGAAAGAATGAAAAATTATATTAAAATAATTAGGAATTTTTACATAGGGATACACTTAGCAAGGACTATAAAATGATGGTCATTAAAAGGCATGGACATTAGACACGTGCGTGTTGTAAGATATTGAAGAGAATATATTGATTCTCAGATCATTCACCAATTGAACTTGTCTACTCACTGTCAGTGAGTGGACTTATTTCTGAAAAAAAATTTAGGCTCAATATTACTTAGACTTTTGTAACAAATAATGAAGTTGTAAATTAGTTTTGTATTCAGACACCTATCATTTTTATCTATTTTCTATTTAGTGAAAGTTATCCCCATAACACCTATGTTACAACAGGGTTTAAATAATAATTGTACCCCAAAAGTCAGAATGTAGTGTGGGTCAGCTGAGAATTTTAAAATAAAGTTTCTACATCGTCATCAAGTATTAGTGTTTATGTCGTGTTTATGACATATGCCCTCTTCTTGGCATGATGGTGAATTTTCTGGAAAAGTCTCCATACAGCTCTTACATTACCTTAGGGTACTTGCTCAAACTCATTATCTAGGAAATGGTAAGACCTACATCTCCTCAATTACAGCCATGGTCCCAATCTACTGAAGTAACACAAGCATTGCTAAGGAGACCCAAATATAAATTGGTGTGTGTATGTCTATGTCTCTCTGTGTATAGTAACTGCCTAAATGGTTTTGAAGGGCATCATGAAGTATTATCTGATACATAT